ATAATTACTTGAATGTCATAATGGCTTTATCAGCTGTGAAAATTTTATATTTTAATCGGCAATGAATTTATTTGAAATACAAAAAATTTTTCAAAAAATAACTTTAAGATATAAAAATTGATAGCTATGGAAGCAAAAATCTCATTCATAGAAAATATTCTGTTTTTTTTTGCATCATACTAAGAATTTTGTTAATTAAATTTATAATTTTCATAATAACAAATGTAAAAAAATAATTTAAGAATGAACAAAAACAAGGAGAAAGTGGTGGTGCAGAGGAGGATAAGAAAGAAGATAAAGGCGGTAAACATTGATTGTTTTTGTAAACAAATGATCAGGTGAAAGCCTAATTAATTAGTAACGATTTCAATTCCGGAACTATTTTTTGACAATTCAAAATGATTACTTCAAATTATCCGCTATTCCTTCTCATAATTCCATGCCCATTACTGGAAATGAAGTCAAAAAAAAAATTAAATATTATTGGTGAAAAATCAAGAATATTGAAAATTACTCAGTTAATTAATCAATTATTACTTAAAGATGAGAAAAAGGAAACTGAAAGCAAAGATAAAGATGATGGTGGAAGTGCACGAAAAATTGTTTCAAACGAAAGTAAAAAAGCGATCAAACAACGATCAGATAGCATTAAAAAAGTGGACAAAACAGCTGGCAGTCAATAATGAAATAAAATAAATTTCACATTTCCTGTTTTTTTTTTTTTAAAATGATATCTTCAACTTCTCTCGTAAGCTTTACAAAAAAAAAAAGTTAATATTAAGAAAAATGTAAGATTAAATGAATGATCTTAATCGCTTGTTTATCATTACTGATCGGTATTCGCTGAGATAAGCATTTATCATATTTAATATTATGAGAGGAAATGATGATATCATTCAGTTTCCACTATACTACGTATTATTTCTCGAATTCTTCTCCATTTATTTGGCAAAAAGAGTGCCATACAAACAATATTAACTGATCCGATTTTTAATTTCATGTTTTTCAATTATAAAATTACAAATTATTATGTTCAAATTTATGTAACAAAATTAGAAATGATCATATATATCTTCTAGTGAAACGTTAAAATATTCCAAAATTTGAACATTATCGTATAACATTTGAATGATTAAAGCCATCTTCATTATCTGAATTATTTAACTCATTTTATATTGTTGACAGTATTAAAATTAAAATTACCACAAATTAAAACTGCTCCAATTAATTTAATGCTTATAACAAACATTTTTTTAAACCTTAACTTTTATCAATTTTTAAAAACATTCAAATTCAACAATAAAAGAAATTAAAGATTTGTAAAGTGTAAAAATTTCAGCTGATCATTTGCAAAAATAATAATCAAATTGATAGATATGTAAGCATACGATTGTCACAATAATGCAGCAATTTAATTGATGACAAACTTTAAACTTCAAAAAAAAAAAGCTCGGGAAGATAAAGTTAGAAACATAGTGCCGAAAAAAAAAAAACAGAAAAATCTTTAAAAAAATGCACCATTTAATTAATGTTTTAAGAGAAAATATTGCATTTATGGGTCAAATTCGGGGTCAAATTTTATGTATGCTTACATAATGCAATAAGGTCACTTCATGGAAAGGAAGATATTTGAATCCCATCCCATAGAAGTTTAATTCAAGTCAAGAAGAAAAAGGTCAATAGCAGCACTTGTTAAATGTTCAATTATCAATTATTTTGCTAATTACTTGCAAATTGGTATATTTGGGAAAAATTCATGAAGTCACTGAGAGAAAAAAAATGAAAACAATTTCAAATATAAATAAACATAATAAATCATAATGAAAAAATTTTTAAAAAAAATCATTAATTAAAGCATCATTAATGATGTGTAATATTTATGAACATGAAAAAGAATGAGAAAGATTACTCCCTCTATCCTTAGCCAATGGTCACTCTGTTTTTAGCTTAATTATAGAACAAGTAAAATTGCAACACTTTCTGGCATATCTTTTAAGAATAGCTAATAAATTATTCATTAATCTTTCTTTTTAGAGGAACGAATGAAATTAGCACATATGATTATTGCAAAAAGTTATTTTCATCTATCATTGGTCACTCAGTATTTTACAAAATAAAAATGACAAAATTAATGGATAAAAGTTTTTCTCTTTTCAAATAATAACAATATAACTTAACTGAATCTTTTCAGGTGGAACTAATTAATTAAAAAATGAGTGAAACTAATTAATTAAAAAACATCCATCCAAAAAGATCATTAATTAAAAATATTCAACAGGTGGATTAATAAACCCAGGAAACTGGTACCCATTGTGGACAAGCATTAAGCTTCTCCACAACAAGCTCCAGCTGATGTATTGTCTCATCAATATCATTATTCAATATCACGTAATCAAAAAGATGTCCAAATGCTTGCCGTAAAATTTCACTCTCTCGTAGCAAACGTTTCAAGCTACCATCTGGCTGTAAAAAATTTTTTCATCATTGATTGTTACACAAATGAGACAAATGTAAAAATTAAAAAATTTTTCAAAAGTTGTTTGCAAAAGCTGACAATTAACAGAACTAACTAATTTGCTGTAATTCATTAAAAATAAGCCTAAGCAATGATGTTCTGCTAAAAATAGACTTATTTTTAAGAAAATTCTACAACAAAATAAAACGCTATTATCATTAATTTTCATTTTTTCTTCTTCAGATTTTTAGAAATGTATAATTTCCCATTTAAAAGAAAAAAAAGAGAGTAATTTAACTTACATCTTGTAAACCCTGCAAATTTGGTGCAGCGATAAAAACAACAAATGGAGCATACTCAGCTGTCCTGAGAACTTTTAACGCCTAGAAAATTTATTATTTTTTTAAAAAATTTCGATGAAAATATTATAAAAGAAATATTATAATAATAATAGCAATAATAATAATGATAAACAACAATTCTGATAAAAATAGTGCTAAATAATAATAATGATAAATGATAATAGTGATAAATGCTAGTAGCGACAAGT